AAAAAACACCTGGAGTGGTGGCACACACCTGTAATCCCAGCTACTCAGGAGGCTGAGGCAGAAGAATAATTTGAACCCAGGAGGCAGAAGTTGCAGTGAGGCAAGATCATGCCACTGCACTCCAGCCTGGGCAACAGAGCGAGACTCTGTCAAAAAAAAAAGAAAACGCCAGTGAGCAGGCAAGGCTGCAATGTGGATCCAGAAGTCTTCTGAGGCTGGAGTTTCCTCACTGAATCAGGTGGCCTGGATGCTGTGCCCATTCCTTACAGCTGTGTGAGCCCAGTGCCCAGGTTAGGTCACTGGACATCAGTGAACGGTGCCCCTGAATGCCGGCAGTTGGGCAAGCAGGAGTCACACCATGTTCACCAGTCCAGTTGCAACAACCCCAAGCTTAAGGAACCAGCTTAGATGCATAAGGAGAGAAAGACAGACAGAGAGAGAGAAAGAGAGAGATCAGATCCAACCCAGATTGCCATGTATATTACGGAGGGAATCACCAAATCTCCTCAAACAAGGATGATGACAGAGAATCCCTACCTTTTGACTTAGTCATTGACTAAAACATTTACTGAGAACTGGCTTTGTGCAAGTGCAAGGCCCTGGGCTGGAGCTTTACATCAGTCTTCTGAGCAGATAAGGAAGAAGGCATACCACTATGGTGCGGTGGGGGTGGGCTTCAAACTCAAGGCTGACTCTGGAGACTGTGTTCATTCCAGTGAGCAATGCTGCCTCCAGAAACCTCCCATGCATCCAAATGAGATGGGACCACACCCCTACTTGGATGTCAGTATGCAAGGGTACAACCTTCAATGTCCTGCCTCTACAAATCTCCTGCATCTACCAGGCTCTAAGATGGGAAGCAGTTACAAGTGAGAGGCCAATGAAGTAGTGTCTAGAAGGCAAGAGGCTGGCTGCCTGGAGAGCCAGAGAGGGGCTCAGACACAGAGTGGTGGTCTGTCCATGGTCATGGCAGTCCACTAGGCCTCAGAGACAGCATTAGGACAGGCCTCCAGAGAGCTGCCCCCCAGGCCCCATGGCACTGTGAGGTACGCAGGTGCTCAGGTGGTGTCTAGGACATTTACTTGAATATAAGTGACCTGGCAGCATGCCAGAACACTTCTAAGCCCAGTAAAAAAAAAAAAACACAGGTCCCTACTAAGGGTGGCAGCTATGGGCTAGGAGATGATGGGTTCCCTTTTCTTGCCAGCCTTACAGAGAGATCTTTGAGTTCTTCATAGAGGACTTCAAAACCTACAAGCCATTACTATCCTCCATCAAGAATGCCTATGAGAGGATGCTGGGTAAGAATGCACCTCCCACCAGGCCCAGGGGATCACGCCTGTAATCCTAGCACTTTGGGAGGCCAAGGCAGGTGGATCACGTGAGGTCAGGACTTTGAGACCAGCCTCGCCAACATGGTGAAATCCCGTCTCTCTACTAAAAACACACACAAAAAATTAGCTATGTGTGGTGTAATTCCAGCTACTTGGAAGGGTAAGGCAGGAGAATTGCTTGAACTGGGAGGTGGAAGTTGCAGTGAGTGGAGATCACACCACTGTACTCCAGCCTGGGCGAAAGAGTAAGACTCCATCTCAAAAATAAAAAGTAAAAAAGAATGAAGCTCCCCTCCTGGGCCCAGCTGGAAGGGGTAGAGAAGATCCTATTTGAACTTCTGGGGCTCCACAGCAGGGCTGGGGCAGCTACCAACTGGGCCTTGAGGTCACCAAGCCCCCTCAGCCATTCTGCACAGACTGTTCTGTCATAGAGTGGCCCAGGCACCTGACCACCCTGTCCTTGAAAAGCACAGTGGGGCAGTCCCTGCTGAAAATGGAGTGAAACCCAGGAGAGAGTGAGCACCCCTAGGAGTCAGCAGGCTTCTCTGCCAGCCTCAGGAGGTGCAGGGCATGGTGCAGCTGCAGGACTTAAGCCTATAGGAGAAAGGACATAGGAGAGACCCCGGTCCTCATCTGAACTTTGCCCTTGTTTTTTTTTTTTTTTTTTTTTTTTTTTTTTTTTGGTTTTTTTTTTTTTTTTTTTTTTTGAGATGGGGTTTTGCTCTTGTCACCCAGGCTGGAATGCAGTGGCAGGATCTCGGCTCACTGCAACCTCTGCCTCCTGGTTCAAGTGATTCTCCTGCCTTAGCCTCCCAAGTAACTGGGATTACAGGCATGTGCAACCACACCTGGCTAATTTTTGTATTTTTAGTAGAGACGGGATTTCACCATGTTGGCCAGGCAGGTATCGAACTCCTGACCTCAGGTGATCTGCCCCCCTTGACCTCCCAAAGTGCTGGGATTACAGGTGTGAGCCACCGCACCTGGCCAGAATGGCTGATTTTTACTGAATTCCTAGCAGGTGCCAGGGTCCATGTAAAGCACATATTATGCTTTCTCATTTCATCCTCATATCAATACACTATGATAAAAACTACCATCATCCCTGTTTTACAGACATGAAGACTAAGGCTCAGAGAAGTTGTAACATAGCTAATGAGGGACATTTGAGAACCCAAGCCCCCTCTAACTCAAGAACCCACAGTCCTAATTATGATCTATGTTGAGAGATGTTTGTAGAAAACATCAGGACTGGGGGAGGAGAGATGGAGAGGAATATTAGGAAGGGGAGCAATTTTGCCATGGTAACCTCACCTGTCCTTCCCTGCAGACTGGTCAGTTCTCCATGGGTGGGCACCTGTCCCCATGGCCCACATTCACCAGTGGCCAGACCATTTTGCAAAATCGAAAACCCTGTTCAGATGACTACCGGATGCGAGCAGGGTAAGCCAAGGTCATTCCCATGGTGGGTGGGCTGACATGGGCCAGGCATCAGCCAAGAGACAGGGCAGGGGCGTGTGTTGCCCCAGAGCAAGGGTGCAATGGCCTCCATGGGGGTGCTGGCCACATATCAGCCATTGTCCCCTGCAGGAGCTGCCAGCAATACCTCTTTCGCACCGCCAAGCCCCGGTTCCTGCAGAAGATGGAAAACTACCTACGCAAGGAGCTCCTCCTGCTGGACGTGGGCACAGATTCCACCGAGGAACTGAGGCTGCAGGTCAGAGCCACAGAAGAAATGTGGGGAGGTCAGGGGAAGGGTGAAAAGAAGCCTCACCTACCAGCTGGGCGCAGTGGCTCATGCCTGTAATCTCAGCACTTTGGGAGACCGAGGCGGATGGGTCACCTGAGGTTCAGGAGTTCGAGACCAGCCTGGCCAACATGGTAAAACCCTGTCTCTACTAAAAGTACAAAAATTAGCTGGGCATGGTGGCAGGCACCTGTAATCCCAGCTACTCAGGAGGCTGAAGCAGAATTGCGTGAACCCAGGAGGCAGAAGTTGCAGTGAGCCAAGATTGAGCCACTGCACTCCAGCCTGGGCGACAAGAGCGAGACTTCGTCTGAAAAACAAAAACAAACAAGCCTCAACTACCAGGACTGAGCACCTGAGACCTTCAAGGGAGACTTGCTTCTCCCAGCTCCTGCATCTCCTTCCCTGAAGAGAAGCAGGAAACATCCTATGAAAATGCCAGTGAGGCCGAGTAGTGTCATACACCTATAATCCCAGCACTTTGGGAGGCCAAGGCAGGAGGATCGCTTGAGGTCAGGAATTCAAGACCAGCCTGGCCAACATGGTAAAACCCCACCTCTACTAAAAATATAAAACTGGCCAGGTGCAGTGGTTCACACCTGTAATCCCAGCACTTTGGGAGGCCAAGGCAGGAGGATCACTTGAGGTCGGGAGTTCAAGACCAGCTTGACCAACAATGGAGAAACCCCATCTCTACTAAAAATACAAAAATTAGCCAGGCGTGGTAGCAAATGCCTGTAATCCCTGCTACTCGGGAGGCTGAAGCAGGAGAACTGCTTGANAATTCTCCTGCCTCAGCCTCCTGAGTAGCTGGGATTACAGGCACGCGCCACCATGCCCAGCTAATTTTTTGTATTTTTAGTAGAGACGGGGTTTCACCGTGTTGACCAGGATAGTCTCGATCTCTTGACCTCGTGATCCACCCGCCTCGGCCTCCCAAAGTGCTGGGATTACAGGCTTGAGCCACCGCGCCCGGCTGCCCTTGGTTTAAAATCAAGTGCAGGCCAGGCGTGATGGCTCATGCCTGTAATCCTAGCAATTTGTGAGGCCAAGGCGAGCAGATCACGAGGTCAAGAGATTGAGACCATCTTGGGCAACATGGTAAAACCCTGTCTCTACAAAAAATACAAAAATTAGCTGGGCGTGGTGGCGTGCACCTGTAGTCCCAGCTACTCAAGAGGGTGAGGCAAGAGAATCGCTTGAACCCAGTAGGCAGAGGTTGCAGTGAGCCGAGATCACGCCACTGCACTCCAGCCTGGCGATAGAATGAGACTCCATCTCAAAAAAAAGGAAAATAAAATGAAGTGCAGGAAGGCCTGAAGCAAGGACCATACTTTGAACAAGGCATGCAAAGATTCTTGGAGTTTGCAAGCCACACAGCCACTCTCCCATGACCTTAGGGGTTCTGTGTCTTCTGGCTGTTTATTCTCCATGGCCCCAAAGCTGCTCTCCCTTCTGTCTCTGCTTAGCCCACCAAAGGGAGACTATTCGGGCTCTGGAGCCCTTGAAGGCCAAGCTTGTCAATGTGAATGAGGAATGCAACGAGAGGATCCTGGCCATGAGGGCTGAGGAGAGACATGAAATCTCCCTGCTCAAGAAAGAGAAGATGAATTTGCTAAAACTCATCGACAGAAAGAATGAGGAGAAGATCTCATTGCAGAGTCAGGTGAATAGAAGTGGTATGATGACCAAGTCCCTGAATTCCTGCCAACCCCACCATGAGGGTGACCCCCTATCCAGCTCTGCCTTTCTACAGAGAATGACACACTGAGCCACTACCTTCCCCCAGAGCCTTGTTAACTCCACCCTCTGCCCTGCTGCTTGGCTCATAACTTTCCCTGTAGGGGGAAGCATTGACACCTTGCAGAAATCTCAGAAATGGCCAATCTCCTTCCTCCACCTTTCCTGTTCACAGGCCCTGATGGGGCCACCCAGCACCCAGCCTACTCCCTGGGGTGGCCAGCTGCATACAGGGGTCCAGGGGCAGCCCCTGACCACATTAGCTACTTTCTCCACAGGTGACCAAACTGAGGAAGAACTTGGCTGAGGAGTACCTGCACTACCTCAGTGAGCGAGATGCCCGCAAGATCCTCATCGCAGACCTGAATGAGCTACGGTACCAGCGGGAGGACATGTCATTAGCCCAGTCCCCAGGTAAGCATGAGTCAGGTTTCTCTCTTCCCTGAGATGCTGGAGGAGTCTGGTCTCACCCCTAAGCCCCATTCATTCAACATTCCTAAGGCCTGCTCATTCCATAACCATTCAGAGGGAGATGTCCCTGCCTCCCTCAGGGCTGTGGATCTTGCGAGCTAAACTGAGAATTATAGGAACACAGTTGGTAGCTGAGACAGCCTAGGCTTCTGGTGGGCTGGACAGGCCTGCTACTCCATTTCCTGTGTTTCTAGACTTTGGCCTGAAACCCTAGGCTGGTAGCACTGTAGGCAAGACCCAGGGAACCCCAAGCAGGGAGGGCAGAGAGCTTCAGGCAACCCCTGAGAGATACTATAACCCAGCCCTGGGCTACCAGCCCTAGAGCTAGGGTGACATGGGCTGTTGGACCTCCTCCCCTGGCAGGCATCTGGGGGGAGGATCCAGTGAAGTTAACCCTGGCTCTGAAGATGACTCGGCAAGACCTGACCCGCACGCAGATGGAACTCAACACCATGAAGGCCAACTTTGGAGACGTAGTCCCCAGGAGAGACTTTGAAATGCAGGAGAAGATGAATAAGGATCTTCAGGAGCAGGTGCTGGCGGGCAGGTGGGGGCCAGGAGGGTGGCACAGGTGGGAGGCCAGGGCCAATGTCCTTGCCCACAGCTGGACAGCCTGAGAGCCAGCTACGAGGAGGTCCGCAAGGAGCACGAGATCCTGATGCAGCTGCACATGAGCACACTGAAGGAGCGGGACCAGTTCTACTCCGAGCTGCAGGAAATCCAGCGCACTTCCACGCCGCGGCCTGACTGGAGCAAGTGCGAAGGTGAGGGTGGCCAGCAGGGTCCCGGGTCCTGCTCACGTGCGGGCCTGGACTCTAGCTCCCTCTTCCCACCTGCAGATGTGGTGGCCGGGGGCTCAGAGCGCTGGAAGATGCTGGCTGAGGGCAAGAACAGCGACCAGCTGGTGGATGTGCTCCTGGAAGAGATTGGCTCGGGGCTGCTGCGGGAGAAAGACTTCTTCCCTGGTCTGGTAGGGGAGGCCCCAGGAGCAGGGCTTGGGCCAGTCAGAACAGCCATGCCTTGCTGCTGAGATGAGCTTTTGGGGAACCATCTTGGACTCTTCCCTGTTTGGGGGTGGGGCCACAGATGGGTCCAGAGATGAGCTGACACCCTCCCTCCTAGGGCTATGGGGAAGCCATCCCTGCTTTTCTTCGGTTTGATGGCCTTGTAGAGAACAAGAAGCCAAGCAAGAAGGACGTGATCAATCTCCTCAAGGATGCCTGGAAGGAACGTCTTGCAGAGGAGCAGGTCAGATCTTACTAGCCACTCAGGCCCAGCATGGTCTTCAGATCCAGAGTCCTCTGCAGTTCCAGAGGTGCCAGGGAGGAGGGCCAACCAACCCTAAGGCAGGCTGACCAAGCATTTCCCTGATCCTGCAGAAAGAGACATTCCCAGATTTCTTCTTCAATTTCCTGGAGCATCGCTTTGGGCCCAATGATGCCATAGCCTGGGCTTACACTGTTTTTGAAAATATCAAGCTCTTCCGTTCCAACGAGGTTATGAGTCAGTTCTATGCAGTCTTGATGGGAAAGGTGAGCCGGGGCCTATTCCCCTTGGGGAGATTGAGAGGGGTCTTTGTCTGCCCCCACCACTCCAGGGAACTTTGAGTGAGTAATGCTTCTCTCCTTACAGTGGAGTGAGAATGTATATATCACCCAGAAGAAGACAGTAGCCCAGCTGCTGAAGGAGATGACAAATGCTGACAGTCAGAATGAGGGGCTACTAACCATGGAGCAGTTCAGGTGAGAGGCTGGTCCAGGCCACCCCCAACTCCTACCCAACTATTCCTGCATCTTCAGGGAAAAGGGGCACCTGGTGGGAAGGGCCACATCCTTGGAACTCACTCTCTTTTGAGAACTAGGGAGAGGCACAGGCAGGCCTCAGCAGGTCCCTGTTGGCCATCATGTCTCCCCCATAGCACTATCCTCAAGAGTACATTCCCTCTCAAGACAGAAGAACAAATCCAGGAGCTGATGGAGGCAGGGGGCTGGCATCCCAGCAGCAGCAATGCAGACTTGCTCAACTACCGCTCACTGTTTATGGAGGTGGGTGTGTGGGTCCAGGGGACTGGTGTGTCCCCTGCCCTAGCCTTGGCTGGACCCAAGCCAATGTGCCCTCCCTCTGACTTGTGGCCCCTCCCAGGACGAGGAGGGCCAGAGTGAGCCCTTTGTGCAAAAGCTCTGGGAACAATACATGAATGAGAAGGACGAGTATTTACAGCAGCTAAAGCAGGAGCTGTGCATAGAACTGTGAGTGACCCTCATCCATACATGAGTCCCACAGGCTGGGCACCTCAAGGCCCTGGGTCTCCCTGTGCACTGCGCACCATCCACTGCTCAAGCCCAGCAGAGAGGAGGGCACCTGGCCAGGTGTGGTGGCTCACACCTGTAATGCCAGCACTCTGGGAGGCCAAGGTGGGCAGATGACCTGAGGTCAGGAGTTCAAGACCACCCTGGCCAAACTGGCAAAACCCCCTCTACTAAAAATACAAAAATTAGCTGAGTGTGGTGGTGCACACCTATAATCCCAGCTACTCAGGAGGCTGAGGCAGGAGAACTGCTCCAACCCAGGAGGCAGAGGTTGCAGTGAGCCAAGATTGAGCCATTGCACTCCACCCTGGGCAACAGAGTGAGACTCCGTATCAAAAAAAAAAAAAAAAAAAAAAAAGGAGGGCACCTGGGAGTCTGGGGCACAGAAGAGAAGGGTCAGAACCTCTCACTTTCTTTTCCTGTGGGGCAGCCATGAGGAGGTGACTCTGCCCAAGCTGCGAGGGGCCCTGATGAGCATCGACCCCAGCCTGGACAAGCAGACTGTGAACACTTACATAAGCCAGGCTTTCCAGCTCCCTGAGTCACAACTGCCAGAGGAGGGTGACGAGAAGGAAGAGGGCATTGTGGAAATCCTCCAGACTGCCCTGGAGCGGCTTCAGGTGATTGACATCAGGCGTGTGGGGCCTCAAGAGCCAGAGCCTACAAGCTAGGACCCTGCAGGCAGCCTTTGTACTCCAGTCCTGCTAAGCCTGGGCTTTTAGTATAAATGTGTGTGTCTGAACCCACTGCATTCTCCAGGCTGTGCTGGGGAGTTGTGGGAAGGGGAATCAGTCCCCGCCTCGCTGGCCCCCGGACATGCACCAAAATGCAGAATATTCTGTGTATGACACTTTATTGATGCTAGGGGGTAGGGAGGAGACCTGGAGAAATATGTGGGGCCAAGGGGCCCCAGGTGGGGACAGGGAGACTGGAGTGGCCCGGCCACTACTGCGCAGGGAAGACAGAGTTGCCACTGGACGCACAGGGAATGAGGAGCTGCCGGTACTCCAGGGGCAGGTACCGCTCCACTAGCACATGCAGTGAGACTTGGTCGGTGACCAGGCCCTGCCTGCAGTGGAGGAGAAAGCACAGGCAGAATCAGCACCAGCACTCCCCCAGCCAACAAACCCCCCGATCTGCCTTCCACCCTCTTACCTCCGCATCAGCAGCTCAACATCCTCTGGCTTCACAGTCTTGCGGCCAGCATGAGCAGCAAATACCTCCAGGTCGTCACAAAGATGCTGGAAATATTTATCTAGGCTGCCAAGAAGGTGGGGATAGAGCAGGTTGAACAGTCTGATCATGACCCAAGGAGTTCCTCTCCCTACACCACGTCCCCAGGACTCACCACTTCTCCACCATCTCAAGAGCCTTCCTCTCCATGGGCATCTTGGCACAGAAGCTAAAGAGTTTGACGTAGTGGCTCAGTCCAGCCTTGTGGGGATCTTGCTGCGGTCTGGGGATGGTGGTCCTGGGCTTTGGGGGATGCCTGACCAACAGAGGCTCTGCAGGCTCTGAAGATAAGCTGAGGATAGGAGTAGACAGAGGGGCTGAATTACTGCCTCAGGAAGCCCCTATTCAAGGGCAACTCTTGCTGGCTTCTGCTGAGGCTGGAGACCATGTGGCTCTTGGACAGCCAGGACCAGCAGCCCTGACCACCTGCTGAGGGGCAGTCAGGTCAGGGGGCCAAACAGAGGCTGGTCTTTGCCTGGGGCTTTGTTCCTCCACAGTCGACTCGACCTCCTAGCTCAGGCTTATTATCTATATTGGTACCTGCTTGGGCCCATGACCCCAGACCTCAGAGTGGACAGTCTCTCTCCTCACTCTACGGCTGCCTATCCTGATTCTGCTAATCCTCCTCCAGGAAGGCTTCTCTGACTACAAATCAACCACATACTTTCCCCTCACACAGTCTCCTCTAAGCCCTGGAGGCAGGCACCAGGATGGCAGGGGTGCTCTTGGTGAGCCCTCCCCAGCCCAGGTCAGGCTGCACTGCTGGGTAATCATCTACATACACGTGGGAAGGGGGAGGACCCTGCGTACATGGTGTACCCAATGCCCCCTTCCCAAGAGGCCCAGGAGGAATGGGGTTGTGGGATCTTACACTGCAGCACCAGGCGGTGGGTCTGGCTCAAGAAACTGATGATGTCCCCTAGCCTGCAGAGACTCAGGGGTGCTGGAGACCAACTCTGGACTTGCTGCAGAGGAAGAAGGGTGGGGTCACAGGGATCCCAGGCCGACCATCTTACCCAGGCTAGCACAGTCACAGTATTTCTGTCCTGTTTCTGGTGGGCCCCACCTAGCTCCAGCCAAGCAGGTGCCTCTCAGAGTCTCCCTGGCCCCCTACCACCACCAGTGTCTGGAAACACAACCCAGGCAACGCCCTTCTGTGTGCTGGGGCCTGAACACAGCTGTCACCAGCTACCCCCTGCACTGGGCCTCTTACCTGCCCTGTCAAAGGCATCCTCATCCCCTGAAGATGCTCCTGGTCCCTTGGCCTCAGCAGTCCCCTGGGATTCCTCTGCTTCTGTCACCTCTGTGTGTCCCTTGGGCTCTTCTGCCCTGCTGGGTCCTTGTGCTCCTGTTGCCTCCATTTCACTCACACCTTCGTCTTCCATCCTTTTCTCTGCCTCTTCAACTCCATCCTGTAAGGGTTCTACTCCATCTTCTCCAGAGACACCACTGCTAGTGCTCAGGAAATCCGGAGCAAAGGCATCAACCTCCTCTGCCTCTCCTGCCAGAAATTGGGCTGGTTTCTCAGGGCCTGAGTGAAGGGGAGAGAATACAGGCTGGAGATGCAGTAGGCCAAGCCTACATAGCTCAGAGAAGGGAAAAGACGGACCAGCAGACCCAGCCCTGCCCACTGAAGAGACAAAGCCAGAGGCAGCAGCACGTCATGGATCTGGAGGCTCTGGCCCAACATGGACTCTGCTCTTGGATGGAGGCAGCCACAGCCAGGGGGTTTCTAGGGGTATACAGGGACTTGAGGATGGAAAACCACCATTGTCAACTCTCACCCAAGCTAAGCTTGGCTCTAGGCCACAGGCACCACATACTCACTGTTGGTCTGCATTCCAGGCCCACTGCTCTGTGCCTTGCAACCGGCAGCCAGCTCAGTGTCTTCGGCCCCAGTGTGAGGCATGCAGGGCAGGGAGCGATACACACGGGGGGAGTAGCCAACTGTAGGCTGAGAGAAGGGCTGGGTGTCTTCCAACACAACGTCTGTGGGCAGAGTAGTAACAGGTTCTGAGGCTATCACCTGGAGATCAGGGGCCAGCTGGCTCTCAGTGTATTCCAGGCCACCTGCTGCTACTCTGTGTTGCCAAGGCCTGGATAGTGGGCCCCATGGGTCCACCCTGAGTGGCCTTTAGATAAAGAAGACAACCTAGCACGTGAGGCCTTATCTCCCATAGCCCTCCTTGCTGACCTTCCTGTTCCTCTGCCTGGCATTCCCAGGCCCCCACAGCTGCCTGCCCACCAGCTGCCCACTCAAAAAACCTCTTGGCTGCTCGCTCTGCTCCTTCTGCCCAAACCCTCTTCTTACTCTGGTGAACTTGTTTTCTGCAATGAGGGTCCCAGGCCAGCTTGAATTGGCCAGCTGATCCTGAAACTTGGCCCCTTTCAACAAGTTTTGGCCACCACACCACACCCCTTTCCAACCTCCAGCTCTATAGCTTGAGGATGTGGGTCCCTGGGAGATACTGAGGGACCAAGACTGGGCCCCACCAAGGCAAGGGGCCCCTTGTGGAAAGAAAGCAGAAATTCCTTCTAGACCCACTGACCAGACTCGCTCGTTGTCTGTGACTCCACCAAAAGGGGCACAACCCTGATTTAGCAGCACCTCCTATCTGTCATAGCAAGGGAGAGCTTTCCCCAAAGACCAGCAGGGGAAAACCTCAACCTTACTTGGAGGAGCCAAGGAAGTATCTCGCAGATCCTGCAAAAAGGCACCCACATCTACAGCTCGACGGGCGGGAGGTCTGCGGGCCAAGCCAGGCCTCTGTACTGACTGTGGCTGAAGAGGTGTGGCAAAGGTCAGGTTGAGGGAGCTGGTAAGAGGGAGAAGGCACAAAGGAAAGTCAGGTACCTGAGACCCAGTTTGCCCAGAGATCCCCCCATCTGCCCTGGGGTTCTCATCTCTTAGAACAGAGCCAACATGCTGTGTGGCTAAAACTGGCAGAGAGTAGTGTGGCCAGATTCCCAGGCAGCACCTCACTCCCCAAGCCTCTCCTCCACCCACCGCCAGAACAGGAAATACCCAGAACAGCACCTGGTGAGGGATGAGGCATCAGCATTCCTTTGAGGCTCTGTCGGTGACCCGGCAAGAGAATGTAAAAGAAGAAAACCAATGTAAATGATCCAGGCCTGTAAGAGCCCTCTCTCAGGCCTCTTCAGCCTCTCCAGAAGACAGGAGGGAAAGGGTAGCAAAAGTGGTCCAGGGCCTTACCTTGGGAGAGAGGCAGCCCCTGGTCCACTCCCTGCTGAAACATCGACAGTCTTAGCCTCTGTTTCCTCCTGCCAGGGGCCAGCAGACCTGGAGCCAGGGTCATGGGGAGCTCAAGCTCAGGAAGTTGCAGCTCCAGGCTATAAGAATGTAGCTTACCTCAGGCAGGCCAGGAAGCCCAATTCTGGCTTTTGCAACCCCCAAGAAACTCCCTGACTAAGCTGCCCATAACATAGTGCGAGGTGGGAGAGTTCTGTGTACCTGCCAAGACTGCTCTCTCGTCTGGAGGGCTGGACCACCTGTGGTGCTGGCACTGGCTTCACTACCGACTTGGGCATCAGGATGGAAGATTCCGGGGCTGCAGAAACACCAAGGAGAGGGTGGGGCTGACAGAACAGGCCACCCTGAATGAAACATACCACAAGACTGTTGTTGGACTGCTGCCTAACTCTGACCGGCAGGCCAGCGCTCACTCACCAGTTAGTAGGATGTTCTTCAGCAGGGTCCGAGGCGTCTGTTCCTCCAGGTGCCCACTGGCCTGAACATATGCTGATCCACTAATAGACTATCGGTAAAAGCACCAGGCAACCAGTCTGTCCATTTGCCTTGAGATTTCCTCAAGGTGGACTCCAGAGCAGAGCTGGACCTCAACCCCCCTCCCCGAGGCAGCCAGGGCCCTTTGGGGTCAGTGGGCTGGGTACTCACCCTGTCTCCATGGGAATGCCTTCTGGTTGTCATCTTTGTTTGGCTGTTCGACCTCCTGGAAGAAGCTGTTTCAAGCAGGGTTCTTCTCTGGGCACTGCGTAAAAAGACCAGCAGCACTGAGAATTACAGTAAGGAGGGATAGAGGATACAGAGACAGCCTTCAAAGGGGTCTTGGTCTGAAGCCTTTTTCCCTCAGGGCTAGGGACCCAGAAACCACCTGCCCCTATCATCACCCCTGTTCCCAGCCCTATGTCGACAGCAGTGTAAACGAAGACCCCTAGGGTATGGGAAGAGAGAGGGAATATGAATGAACAAGCCAGGAGGAAAGGCTTCAGAACTTCAGCAGAATCATAAAGGATAAGTAGGGGTTAACCACACAGACAAGAGGAGCAATTGGAAGAGCATTCATCCCAGACATGAAAATAACAATCCATGAAGGATATTAAAGTATTTTAAAATCTTTTAGCCGGGCATGGTGGCTCATGCCTGTAATCCCAGCACTTTAGGAAGCTGAGGCGGGTGGGTCACAAGGTCAGGGGTTCGAGACCAGCTTGACCAACATGGTGAAACCCCTTCTCTAATTAAAAATACAAAAAT